AAAAGAGCCAAGGTGCCCTCCTCTGGGAGCAAATAGTCAGAGCTAAGTCGGCCTTCCTCTCTGCTATCAACTGGCATTCCTCGGAGCCTTTCCAGCAATCCAGAACCTTTTCCCTGGACTGGGGTGAGCAGCAAATCTGAGCCTGAGGGCATTCTGTTATCAGGTCAGATTGCCTGACTCTGGAGCCACGCCATTTAGTTCTACAGCCTGGTTTGGTGAAACTGCCTCAACTGTTCCTCTGGAGTCAACTATATTCACCTTTGAAGGCTTGGCAAGATTCACAAATGAGAATCCATGTGACCTGTTGACACGAGTGACCAATGACCTTTCAGTCTTCCCAGAATATACCAAGTATATTATATACACACCATAGGAATGATGAAGGCCCACCCAAAATGCAGGCCTCAGATCCAAGCCCTTGCCTGCAACACGAATTTCCTCAGTTTGTGAAATGGAGATTCTAAGATGAGCCTTACCCAAAATGTGTCTCGTAAAATATAAACTATTGCCTCCGACTGTACTGGGGTGCGGCTCAGCCGTACAGGGCTTACCCAGAGTGTTTAGTACAGGGACTGCCTTGCACATGCAGGGCCCTGGGCTCCCTATACCCAGAACTTACAAAAATAAATAATAAAAGGAAACTACCAACCAGTGAGGAAGGCACTGGATGCCTAGTCCTCCAAGGCAGTACACTGATAAACACACCATCCACTGCCAGCTGAGCCTCCCTTCTGACTCCAGTCACACCCCAAGGGGAGCTGGGCCGGCGCTGAGAGAGTCACTAGTCACCTCACTCTGGAGGGGAACCCAGGATCCCCTAAACATGTCGAAAATTGGAGGCTGCCAGTATACCACAGCGATGCTAACTGAAGCCCATAGCAGAGCCACTGAGTTCATTCTTCCCTGGTTCATCAGAGCAAGGTGCAGCCACACAAACAAATACACACTGTATGGGACTTTCCAAAGGACCCCACATTAGGAGTTCTTTCCTAATGCTTGCTGCGCAGAGAGGATGACTGGAATTCCAGTGGCCATGACCTCGAGGACAGATGTCCTAAACTGAGGGTGACAAGGAGAGAGGACTCAGGCTCTGGGGATATTACAGGGCAGTCAAGACCACCCCTGGAGGCTCTACCCCCAGGCTTCCTCTACACAACCGAAAAACTTGACTTATGCACGGATGCTTTGGGCTTTGGGTAATTTGGCCTTAGATATAACACTGAACGAATCCAGAAACTAGAAGACAAAATAAGAAAGTCTCTAGAAAAAGAGACCAAACAAATAAACTGGAAAATATAAAAACGGCATTGGAGGGGCTTGCCTTGAAAGAATGAGAGCCTGAATCCAGAACCCACACAGAAAAGCCAGGCTCCACAATTCACTGTCATCCCAGCTCTAGGGAGGGAGAGGCAGGTGGATCCCTGGGGCTCTTTGGCCTAATCAGTGGTCTCCCGGCCAACAGGAGACCCACAGCACACAAATACACTGATGACTCACACCAGCAATGGATGACTCAGGCTCCTGGGAGGGCCACTACAAGTTTGAGGACAGCCTGAGCTATATAATGATTTCCAGGATACCTAGACTATACAATGAGATTCAGTTTCAACTCCCCTGCCCTCCCCACCCCCCCCAAAAAAGCAAAAAGCACTTAGCCAGCGAGTAGGGTAGTATTGGGGACTCAGGAAAATAAGAGTGAAAGACAGGAAAATAATAGACGGGGGGGAGGGGGGCTTGAGAGATGGCTCAGAGGTTAAGAGCACTGCCTGCTCTTCCAGAGGTCCTGAGTTCAATTCCCAGCAACCACATGGTGGCTCACAACCATCTGTAATGAGATCTGGTGCCCTCTTCTGGCATGCAAGCATACATGGAAGGAATGTTGTATACATAATAAATAAATAAATCTTTAAAATTAAAAAAAAGAAATAATAGATGGAAATGTTCACAAATAGAAAGATTCTAATCTTATGGTTATGTCTACCAACTACAAAGCTGAAGAAGAGAAGACAATATATTACCCAGAGATCATCAAGGTGAAATGAAAGAACACAGAAATCGGGGGACTATGAAAAAAAGAGAATAAAAAAAGTAAGTCATATAATTCATAAAGCAGAATGGCTTAGACACACACAACAGAAGACAGGGGCACAATGTATTTACAAGTGACTGCTGAACTTACTTCAGGTGTAGTGGGGGACACTTGGAACCCCAGAACCCAGGAAGTTGAGATAGAACGACCCTGAGGTCTAGATCAGTCTGAGCTATATACCAAGACCCTGTCTCCGTGAATATGTGTGCTCAGCCATAAAGTACTCCTCTAACGTGCAAAGCCCATGCGTTCAATACCTAGCACCAAGCAAAAAACAGAGAAAACCGTCTTTGATCTAGATTTTCTATCACATATAAGCGCCTCTCCCCTACCTCCCCCCATACACACTTCAAACAGAAAGAGGCATTTATAGCCTATGCCGGTCAGTTTGTGTCCACTTAACACAAGCTAGAGTCATTTGGTAAGAGGGAACCTCAGCTGAGAAAATTCCGTAAGACTGGACTGTAGCCAAGCCTGTAGTGCATTGCTGACTGATGTGGGAGAGCCCAGCCCACTGCAGGGAACACCAGCCCTCGACTTGGGGCCTAAATGCCATAGAAAGGCAGGCTGGGCGAACCAGTAGACCACTTCTCCAAGGCCTCTGCATCAGTTCCTGCCTGAGTTCCTGACCTTGACTTCCCCAGATGAAGGACTGCAAGCTGTAAGAAGAAATAAACTTCTTCCCCAAATTGCTTTTGGCCATGGTGTTTGTAAAAGTAACAGAAACCTGAAGACATAGGCCTTGTGGTTTTTTTTTTTCTTGGATTTTTTCTTTGGCATGTGTTCCAATCAAATGAGTCCTGTACACCAATAGGGGAACTATGAGATCCCAGAGACTATTTATTGATACAACACAGGAGAGGCTCAGGCTGACAACTATGTAACTACCCGTTCACTCGGGAGCAGGGAATTGAGGCTCCCAGGAAAAAGATCTTCAAGGGGAAGAAGAGACTAATAAGATAACCATTGTTTGTGTCTAAACAAATAAAGCTTGTCTGAAGATCAGAGTGCAAAGCTAAGACAAACAGGTCAGGGACTGAATGATGGCACACACCTTTAATCCGAGGGCTTGGGAGCCAGAGGCGGGTGGATCCCTGTGAGTTCAAGGCCACCCTGGGCTCTGTGAGTTTGAATCTGTTTAAAAGAGAAACAGAGCTCACACAGAGGTGATCCCAGCACTTGGGATCCTGTGCCTTAATCCCAGCATTAGGGAGGTGGAGACAGGAAGGAATATGGTTGGGCGAAGAGAGGAGCAGGAGGAGACCAGAGCTCAGTGCAGTCTGGAGATGCAGTCTGAGGACAGGATCACCCCTTTGGTCTGAGCATCAGTAGAGGTAAAAGGTCTCTCTAGTGACTGGCTGCTCTGCTTCTCTGATCTTTCAGCTCTGGTTTTTTATTAAGAACAAGTAGAATTCATGCTAGAGATACCAGCTAGAAGCATACCTTTCTCCAGACTTCCTTGCTCCCTCCTGCCTTTTCTACTCATACACTGCACGGGGGAAAAAAAATGGCCTTTCTTCTCTCTGTCTAGCAGACCCTGCCTACTCAAATCCAGGTCCAGGCATCATCCCATTTGGAGAATTGCTAACTATGCAAACATAGGACAAGATGTACACATTGTCGAGGTAAGGCCCAGCATTCCTAAAGCAGCACTTGGGGCTTCTGCAGAGAGCCAGGAACTCAGGGAGGGAGAGCAGGGCTGGGCTAGGCATTGTTGGTAGGGCGCGAAAGCCGGCTGGAGTACTGTATCCACGCTTACTGTCAACATGCTCTTTCCAGAACAAGAAGCTTCCAGATTACCAAGAGGCTTGGGAGCAAAATAGGCTGAGATAAATCTTGGGTAGAGATAGAAAGAGGGGCACTGTGGGGCTGGGGTGCAGCTCGATGGTAGAGCAGTCATCTACCAAAGCTGAGGTCCTAGGGCTCCAACCCCAGTACTACGAAATCAAAAAATGGAGGGTACTCCAGCATTGAAAACTAAGTAAACGAAAGAAAAACCTGGGTGATTCTCTGGGGTTAGCGGAAGCCAGAGGGAGCAGGAAGACTTCGGTCTTGGCCTCCCAGGCCTGGAAGAAGATATGGAAAAAGGTCCATGCCTGAAGTTCAGTCAGATGCATGAAGGATGTTCCATCCTTATTAACCATTGGCCTGGTCTCCCCTATGTCCCTTCTGGGTGTCCTAGGCCCTGGAAAGAAGCTGTGAGGGCAGGCCTGTGCCTCCTAATCTCAAAGGAGAGCGCCTTACAAATTGGCTCTAGGCACCCAATATTCACTGAGGACGGCCGCAGAGGTCAAGTCTGTGGACAGGACTCTTGGAGACAGACATGGGTGTTTCCTTTCGGGTGGCCAGGGCTACGGCAGCTGCCATCCTACACTCCTCTTTTCAAACCTCTGCACAGCCCAAGCAAATTCACAGCTGGAAAACCAGATGGGGGCCAGCGTCAGACCCAGAACCAACAGCTCCATGTGGACTCTCATCCCATCCCTCAGGTTTCCCCCCAACATGACTACCTCCTTAAGACCCCAGTTCCTGATCAGGACCCTGCCACCGTCACCTCAAGACAAAAAGCCTCTTGAGTTAGGTGGGATTCAGGAAGGTTCTACCGTAGCATGCTGGAGGCCATGCTGTGTATCGCCAGCACAGAGAGGAAGGGAAAGAAGACAGGAGAGTTGACAGAGGGAGGAAGAAGCAAAGATACAAAGAACGGAACCCAGGCCTCCCATCATCCGCCACCGCTCTATGTTCTCACTGCTAAGTTCTGGCACTCGGCTCCCACTAGCAGTGGCCTCTCTGGTGTGTGCTCCTGGCCACCCCGTGTCCTCACCTCCTCCGCAGCTTGATGTCCTTTCTTTCCAACTTTCCCCCACCATCTCAGAGCGCTGAGGGAAGGAAGGAGAGGCCCAGCGCTTACCCAGAACTTCACAAGGAAGAAGGCGTTGGAGGGCCCCCGTTCAAATAGCTCCTTGAGGCCACCCTTCTTCTCTGGGAATTTGTCATAGATCTGGCGGATGTCCACGGCTTCGAGGTAGGGGTCATTGTAGCTTGGGCTCGACTGGCTGATGTGCACAAACAGGTGCTTGCTGTACTGTAGACAGAAGAACAATCGGCCTGAGGGTGATGCCAAAGGGTAGGGTAGAGAGACAGCTCAACAGCCTGCCTCACTTAGGACCCGGGTCAAATCGTTTTGCCTCTCTCTGGGCCTCAGTGTCCTCGGAGGAAAAAGGGAGACAAGATGGGTCAGGGGCAACCTGCTGCACTTGGCTAGTTTCCCAGAGGATGTGGATTACACACCACAGACTCCTCAGCTTCCTGAGCGCCCCTCAGAGCCAAGGCGCTGAGGGCTGGGGGAGGGGCAGGGTGGGGGGGGGAAGGACACTAGATTAAGAGGAAAGATAAGAGACAGGGGAGAGGCCTGAGAGAGCTGAGAGGGAGAAAGGCAAGAAGGGTTGAGGTGAGAGACCTTCAGAGAGCAAGGAAAAGAATAGAGCGAAGGAGGAGGAGGCAGGCGGGCAAGGGGAGAAGAAAGAACAAGGAATTTATTAAACCCTGAAGGGAGAGGGGGAAGAAAGGGAAGAAAGCCAAAGAGGGTATGGGGGGTAGGGTGGGGAGTGGGGTGGAAGGTTAGACCTCTGGGCCTGACGAGACTACTATGGAGGCAGGATTTCCAGGGGTGGGAACCCACTTATTTGGAACAGGAAGCTTCCCAAGATTTGAGGCCTACTTTGAGGACAGGGCCTGTGGGATTGGGGACCTACTCTGGCCCTGCAAGATAGGGGACCTACAGCAGTGGCAGAGCCTCTGAGGTAAAGATGATCTCTCCTGGAATAAGACAGTCGGGGACGGGAGACATACTGTGTCAGGATCTGGCCGGCGCTCCAGAAAAGCAGAGAACTCCAACATCCAGAGCTTGGAACTGGCCACACTGCGGCCTTGCCATGGGGAAGCTGGCGGTGCTGAGGGCGATGGGGTGGGTCCTGCAGGAGACTCAAAGCCTAAACGAAGGGAGAGAGACACGGGGAACCTGCCCCTACTTGTCCTCCCTGCAGATGTCCTCAGCGAGGACTGGAGAAAACCAGTGGAGTGTGCCCGGCGGCAGGACAGAGCCTGTGAGAGATCCGGCTCAGTGATCCCCGGCTTCGGCACAGGCCCTTGCTCAGGGCAGATGGATTCTGAACAGCCCAGGTTGCCTGGAAAGCTGCCAGAGCAGGCACTGCAGGACTCTCGCCCTAGGGCAATTTCTAGTCCAGGCAGGAAGACAGCCAGCTGAACCAACTAGCACAATAATTCCCGAGGTGCTCCTGGAGGGCCCGCAGTTGCCTCAAACCCAGAGAACACCACCTATAAATCGGGTTCTAACACAGGCCTAGACCAGCACGGATAAGAGTGTGCTCCTGGTACAAGAGAAGACTTCTTGGTGCCCCTAGGCTAGCCAAGGTGAGGCTCAAGGAAGTCTTGAAGTTTAGGTGATGTCCTTAGTGAAGATGGGGAAAGGGTACCCCAGATTGGGAAGCATCAAAGGCAAGTGGGGGGTGGAGGTGGGGCAGGAGGCGGGGAGGCTAGGAACCAGCTAAGGGATTCTGGAGAGCCTCAACTTCACTGATGAGCAGGCTGAACTGTGGTTGGAAAAGAGGCTCTGTAGTCAGCCCGCAAGGCAGGCTAACAGGGTGGATTCTCTTCCTAAATCAAGGCAAGCCAGCGGTTGAATTAAGTGGGGCTGGGAAGCTGTCGTCTTTGCAATCTTTTTTTTTTTTTTTCCTGGTAATACTGGCGAGGGAACCCTGCCTGGAGCGAGGAATGTGAATGAAAATTCCTGAAAAGAAGCTGTGTCTGGCTGTGAACAGAAACTATTGGAAGGAGTTTCTGGGTCTGCAGAGACTGATGGACCGATTGGAATTTCAGTACTGTGGAGAGACCGGAAATGTATAGGTTCAGGGGCTAATTACTTTATCTTGGCTAGAGTTAGCCTTCTGGGACAGCCATGCCTTGACTCACTCTGGAGCTGAACTAACACCTCGAATAATAAACAGAAACCTCTTAGAAGCTCTTAACTCAGCAGAACAGTAGCATCTGCCAATCCAAGAGCTAGGAGTGTCATCACACAGCATCTTGAGCCTATAGAATAGCTTCCCCCATCTCGCTGGACTGCCTCTCTGGTGTACTCACCAGCTTATTTTAAAGTTGCCTTGATTAAGACATTTTTTTTTGTTCAGTAAAACTATGAAAACCCTGTGAAATCATTTCTACAGAGGAACACGGAATTTGAGGTAGCCTAAAGCTGTGCTCCCAGGCCATGGTCACTCACAATGGCTCCAGATAAACTTCTCTCTCTCTCTCTCTCTCTCTCTCTCTCTCTCTCTCTCTCTCTCTCTGTGTGTGTGTGTGTGTGTGTGTGTGTGTGTGTCTCTCTCTCTCTTTTAATTTTATTTATTTGTTTATTTTTGGTTTTTCGAGATAGGGTTTTTCTGTAGCTTTGGAGCCTGTCCTGGAACTAGCTCTTGTAGATCAGGTTGGTCTCTGCCTCCCAGAGATCCGCCTGCCTCTGCCTCCCGAGTTCTGGGATTAAAGGCGTGCGCCACTACCACCTGGCTCAGAATAAACTATCTCTTATTCCATTTAAGATGAGAACTGTGGTTTTGATGCTGACAGTACTCTAAACAGGCTCTTTGCCACTGAGTTTGGCAGCTTTTTATTCCTTCTTAATTGTGGAAGAAGGGTGGGACGGAGGGGGACACATTAGAGGCAAGGCCTTCATGAATCAGGTTTTCCTTCTGGAAGCCTGGCGGCCACTAGTACCCTAAGCAGAAGCAGTGAACTCAGGCACAGGAGAAAAAAAAAAAAAAGGAAGAAGAGAAAAGAAAGAACAGTCCAGAAGAGCGGCCTGCCATGCTGAACACACCAGCTAATGCTTAGTACATCCACCAAATCTTTCTTCCCTTCCTTACTGCAGCCCCAGTGCACCCAGGAACTGCTGTGTACACAGCAAAGGAAACCCACAAGGGTATGCAGATACCAGCTGCAGGGACATAGCAGAAGAACACCCCTGCTGGACAGAGGTCTGCAGAGCCCTGGGTGGACAAACAGAGGGCACCTAACCTGGGAGGGGCAGGTAGAAGGAACCACGGACCAGGAGGAGCGATCTGGCCACAGTCCAGAGGCAGAGTAGGGAGCACAGTGGACAGGACCAGGGAGCACAGCAGCTGAGTCTCAGGAGCCCTGCAGATCTGCTGCAGAGCTCAGACCGCATCATGAGGGCACCATGGGGCCAGGGAGCATTTTAAGCCTGGAAATAACATGGTGAGAGAGAGATGCTTTGAGAATCTCAGGGAGCCAGGTAAGAAGCAATTGCGGTATTCCAGGCAACAACTAGGAGGATCTAAGTATAGACTGAATCAGCATGGACAGAGGGACAAGAAGAGAAGACAGGACACGAGGACTGGCCCCAACTCAGTGATGCTCCCAATGGGGTGAAGAAAGCAGTGAGCGACACCAGGTGTGGCAGGAAAGCCTGAGAGGCCACAACCAGAATGTCACAGCTGGTCACTCTCCACGGAAGGTTCAAGTTTGGCCTGGGCCGCAGTGTGGAAGGGGCTGAGGAAGCTTCTTGAGAGATTGTCAGAACTGGTCCACTGAGGCCTGAGGGAGGGCCCAAATTAGCAAGCTGTTTCTGTCACATTGCCCAACAGCACTTTCCAGTCATCAGGGTCTCCTGTGCTAGGGAGGGATCAGGCTTGCAAACAGTGTCCTTTGGCTCCTGGCTCCAGACTAAGAGGCAGTAGGCAGCACTCCAGCGGGGAAGCCTGAAGAGCCAGCACATACATCCTACAAGAGTGGCCTGGGGACACAGGCACTCCCTTCCAATGTTGTGTCCCAGCCAGCCCTGAGCACAACTGGCAAGAAGGCACCTGGCATTGCCCCAGAATGCCAAGACACCTGTGAAGCATGGCTGTAGCATGCTGTCTAGAGGAAAGAAATATAGACACGTGACATCGTGACATCTCACAGGACCCAGGTGCTAGGAGCCTGGGCCCGGACGCAGGAGCCACTGAGTGGGACACATAAGCAGATCATGTACCAGTTACCTACCTGGCAGAGGCAGTGGAGGCTGGACAGTATAAGCGTTTTGAGAGAAAGGTTTCACACTGTGGGAGAAAGGAGAGAGAAGGCATCAGCCACTGGGAAGAGCTGCAGGGTAGGCTTGGCCACTGGTGGCCTCAGCAGGCATTGGTTTCCAGCACCCTCCCCTGCCAATTCCCTCAGGTTTTGGTTTTGAGTCATGGAAGCAACATGTCTGTTGGGGCAATCCACCTCACATCCTCTCCCAGGCCAAGCAGATGTCTCTTTGGGTATTAGCTTTAAAGCCCCTCCTATGCCCTGTCCAGATGAACATGTTAGTAAAAGTAATGTCCGCACTTCAAGTGTGGACATTGCAGACTAAGTAAGTCAAGGCCGATCTCACACTGCAGCCCGCCTCCCGCTGCTCCACCTCTCAAAGCTAGGCTCCATTTCCTAAAATTCTGGGTTCGAATTCAGTTCAGGGAGGAAATCAAACCATACTCACTCGTGGGATGTTCCAGGTTGGCCTGGCAAAGCTCCTTGCCAAAACTGTGAAGGTAAAAGGTATAGACTCAGCTTGGCTGTGCTGTGCACAAAAGCCCACGAGGATTGTGAGAAGAGGTTGTAAGGGAGAGAGACCGTGCAGGCCTCCAGGTGTAAAAGGAGGAAGGAAGGCAGCTCCAGCAGAGGGAGGAAGGAAAGCCAATGCCTCTGTTTAACTGGCTGATGCTACAGGCAGCAGCCACAACAAGGTGTGTTTCCCTGTGATCCCCAGGGAAAGCCAAGCTTTGTGTTCCCCTGTGCTCCCTGGGGAAAGCCAGACTTGCTGACCCTGCACTTTCTCCCTCCCATCGAGACTCACAGGGCTCTTCAATATGTAAGGTTCTGAGGTCCTAAAGTCAAGAAATCTACCCAGGGGCTCAGTGGTAGAGCGTGTGCTTAGCTTGAATAAGGTACATGGCTCCCAACTTGAATACCAAAAATGATATAATCCAAGTGTCTACACAATCATTTTACGTCCAATCTAACATCCCAACTAGTACCCTCTGACTCCCTATGAAATATGATGGCGGAAAGACCTGTGGAATTCAAGACATGTCCCTTCCCCACCAGCGAGGGCAGTGCAAGTCGGGCATCTTAAAGAGGTTATATGACAAGCTTTGGTAGGAGGACCACTTCTGGAACATTCTAAAACTGTGGCGATGCGGATAGGGTTGAGACTGATCGTTATCAGACAAAATCAAAATCTGAGCACGGGTGTGTCCCTAGGCAACAGCTCTCCACACGGAAGGTGGGCTTTGCTGGGATGCTGGGCAGGAGGAGTGGGGTTAGGGGTGAATGGTGGCTATTTGAGGACCAAATAGTCTAGTCAAAGCCTCAGGATTCAGCTCCTGTCACTGGACTTCTGGCCACCTGGCCAGCTAATGAGAGCAGCCGCTGGCATCTCTTTAAAGTCTGCCATACTGTTGTTAAGGACCTCAAACAGCGGATCCAGCATTGGCCCTGGTTTAGAATGAGCTCTGGGAGGGCTCAGAAGAGAGGGACAGAGACTGGCCACTGTGCCCAGCTCTGAAGAAGAGACAGTATGAGGAGAGCTCTGATGGCCTCTTGCTCTGGGTTGCCCCACTTACCCCTGAGATTGCTGGGTAGCCAGGGCCCCGGGCAAGAGCCATTTTATTGTGGAAGGCTGTGGCGGAGACGATCTGAGCGGACGACATGGCAGCCATGCTCTGCAGGGCCTTGTTCTTAGCTGCCTGGTCCTGGGGAGACATGGGAAGCGAGGACCTTAGCAGGGCCACCAGCCAGGGTCATGGGAGGATGATCTGGCCTTGGGGTCAGAAAAGCTGTCCAGTGCTGGAAACCAGAGCTGGGAACCGGATTTGAGTTTGTAATGTACTAACGTGCTGGTGACTGAGCAGGGGGCTCAGCTTCTCTTATAGGTTTCCTCATTCGTTGTGGAAGCATAAAACTGACTAGAAACTATGCCAGATTGACTATCTGACTGCCCTCTCTCCTCCCTCCCCTTCTCCCTCCCTCTCTCTCCTGTCTCTTTTTAGTACTGGGGATGGAACCCCAAGCTTCAAGCATGCAAGCGTGTGCTCTACCATTGAACCCACAGCCCAGTTACAATCGTTATAAAATGGAGAGACTAGTGAGCCAATATTTCCACAGTAAACGAGAATGTGGTAGAACCAAGTCAGCCTTGGTAAGACAAAAATTAAGACTGGCAGCTACCTCTGTGGCTTAAAACTCTACAGAACAATCTCTCTCCGTCCACAAAGCAACTCTGGGGCAGGATGCTGTGTAGTCCTGAGACTCAGGAGCAGTCTGGAAACAGGTGTGGTCTAAGACATCGCACAGGGCATCCTGAGAAATGCTAGTGCACTTTGACCCCTAGGAGGGCAGAGGCTCAGGAGGATCCCTCTTAGAAGGTGAAGAACTGGGGCTCAGAGAATTTAGCCTTAAGACAGTGGTCCATGCTGTGGCTCAGAAGGGTTCCCCTAAGTTCACAGGTTGATGGCTAATTGGAGATGGGACCTTTGGAAGGTAATTAAGCAAAGTCACAAGCATGAGCCCCCATGATGGTATTCATGGTCTACAAGAAAAGGAAGACTGACTTGTGCTAGCTTGTTCTCTGTGGTGGTACCCTTCTCCATATTTTAATGTAAGAAGAAGGCCCTCACAGATAATAGATAGATGCCATAGCCGTGTTCTCAGATTGTGGGCTGCAGAAGCATTTATTATTTTTTCTATTAATTAATTATTTGTTTTATGTGTGTAAGTGTTTTGCCTGCATGTATGATGTATGTGTTGCAGTATGCACATGCCTGATGCCTACAGAAGCCAGAAGAGCCCCTGGAACCAGACTTACAGATGGTTATGCGTTACTTACTATGTAGGTATTGGAAATTGAACCCAGAACGTCTGCCAGAGTAATTAACCGCTGATCCATCTCTTCAGTCCCATCAGCATCTATTCGTTAAACTTCTTTTCTTTTTCTCTCTGTACAGAGTCCAAGCCTAGGACCTTTGCACATGCGAGGCACCCACTCTACCACGGCAGTAGCTCTATTTATGGTCCCTAGTCCTTGTCTTCAAGGTACTGAGGCTTGAACTGGGACCTTACACACACTACAGAACCCTACTCCTGAACTATAGCACCAACCTCTTTTTGTTTAAAATTTTGAGACAGGGTCTCACTGGAATGCCCAGGCTGGCCTTGAGCTTGGATCCACCCAAGTAACTGAGATTAGACACAGGCGCCATCGTGCCCAGTTCCCCTCTTTTTAAAGACAGTGGCTGCCATATAGGCTGTTCTCAGACACATGGGATGACTGATCTTTCTGCCTCAGCCTCCAGATAAGACTTTAGGCACACACAATCACGACTAGTTTTTGATAAATAATTACCCAGTCTGAGGAATTTTTCCATCATCACAGGGAAAATGACTAAGACACAGACAGGACCCGTCAGCAAAACGGGCAGTGTGAAAGTGTGAGGATGTGGCAGCAACTAGCACTCAACGATGCAGGACATGGAAGCCATATTATGGTCCCCACTCAGCATGGAGTGGGTGAAATGTATCACAGGCACCCTCACCCCCTGTCCTTCTGTGGTTAAACGAGGGCCTTGTTCTCAAAGGCCGACTCTGAAGCCATGTACTTTCAGGAGGAAAAGACATTCCAGGCCAGCCCTCCCAGGCAGACCACATCCTCATGGCTGTCGAGATGAACAACTGCATTCAGAGAGCTCCATCCGTTCCATGCCAACAACATGTGTCCCTTCCTGTGTCCTTAATCTAAACAAATGACAGGGCTCAGGAAACCACATCCTCAGTATGTGAGGCGGGAGGAAGAGAAAGGACATCGTAAGGATGACATCAAATGGCCGGACAGCAGGGTCAGGAGTCAGGGATTTTCCAGTTGAAGGGGACCTTACCTATCTATCATCCTACCACAACACCCTGTCATTTTGTAGACGAGAATACAGAATGGGGCTCATGAAGGGTGCAGGACACGACCATGAGACAGAGATGGGGCACAACAAGCCCAAGGATTTCTGCCCACCCTACTGTCCATCCCAGAGCTTAACCACTGTGATCCCAGGAGCCTCAAAAGCAGGACAGAGTCCTCAGACCAGCTTCTGGGGAGATGGAAACACGGGACAATTTAGATACTTTAAGAGGTTTGTGGCTCCTCTTGATGCCTGGCTGGAGGTCCACCGACAGTTGTCCTCAAGTTACAGACAGACATGTGATTCTGTGAAGCAAATATGGGTGGTAGAGACAGCCCAAGGAACGGAACAGTCCCCTTGACACTCTAAACATAACATGGCTATTCTGTCCTCACTGTCACCTAGGATCTCAGTGAGTCAGGGGCAGACCAGAGAGGGGACATGGGAAGTCAGCAGGTCTTTAGGGTGGGGGGTGTTCCAGGGAGGGAAGCACAGCTGCAGGCAGGCCAGTTGTCCTGGGAACACAGGATGGGGATGCCGAGTCACAGCTTTGAGGTGTGGAGAGGGCAGATGGACTGAGGGCAGGAAGAACAGTGGGTGTGGCTTCTTAGGACGCAGGTCAGTGGTTCTACCACTGGGCCAAGCCGTATAAGAAATGATAGACAGGTCCGATGATGGTGGTACACACCTTTAATCCCAGCACTCAGGAGGCAGAGGCATGTGAGTCTGAGGCTAGCCTGGTCTACAGAGAGAGTTCTAGGATAGCCCAGGCTACACAGAGAAACCCTGTCTTAAAACTACCACTACCACCCCCCCCTCCAAAAGAAGAGGTGACGGACAGGACAGTGTGAAATGATCCAGCCCAGAAGCTTTTAAACTGGACTCTGAGGCAGTACAGAGTTCTTCCTTGGGTATGAGACTGTTCAGGAGTTGGGGTGCGGATTGAGGGAGTCCTGGCTTACTCTTTGCCAAACTGGCTACAACCAGAGTGACCCACTGGAAGGCATATTAAGGTGAGATTTTGTTTGAGAAAAATAAAACAAAGAGTCTCATTGCTTCAGCAAAGATGTATTTACTGGTCTAATCGAAGTGTTCAAGTGTTAGGCCTTCCTCCCCAAGTGGTCAGGCAGGCCATGTGATTAAGAACTAACTCCCTGATGGAGAATTCACTCCCCCCAGTGTTCCCCAGAAGGCCCTGGGCCCAGAATTCCGGAGGACTGTTTTCCTAAGGGGACCCACCTGCAACCGACCTTACACTGAAGGGGTCTGGGGAGGGGATGGAAGTGCCATCTCAGAGAACACAGAGGGAACAGAGGTGCTGAGTATGGGCCCTCTACACTAAATCCCAGGTAGGGCCCAGCAGCAGGCCACCATCCGTATACACAGATCTAGAGAGGCCACAGGCTAGACCTGACTGTCCTTAATGGCAAAAGACACATAGGCTCAGCACAGCGGAAACCCCTGAGCCCACAGGGTTGACTTTTCCGCCTGGAAGAAGAGTCCCAGCTTCTGGAAAACCCCACTGCCCCCAAGTCCCAGGGTTCCCTCCCTGCTGACACTGTTTTCCTTACCTTGAGTTTGGCCTGGATCTCTCGGGCTTTTCGGCGGGCAAGCACCTGGATGTGGCTGGAGACCTATTATAGAAAGAGAGAATTCCTGTCCTTACCTCCAGACTGCTTATGCTTCCCCAACCCTCAGTCCTTCTGGGGAGCTCACTCCTGCCTGGCCCAGTTCACCGTGAGCCAGGCAGTACTGCCCAAGGGGGGCATAATGTGCTTCTCCCCCTAGTACCCTGGAGAGGGAGTTTGACTCTCTAGAAAAGGGATGGACCCAGGAACCCAGATGAGTGGGTACCACTCCCATCCCCATGGGCATAGGCGTGGTGGGTGGGGTGATCTTTCCGGCCTCACCTGCTTCCTGGTGCGGGTCTTCCCTGTGCGGAGCTTGATGTAGCGTGCAATCAGCTCGTTCCGACCTGCAGAAACACCCACAACCTCTCAGTTCAGAGCATTTGAGAGTGGGCTCCTCGCTCTGCCCACCTTGGGTGGGACTTGGAAAAAAGGCTCTTGCAGTTTGTTCTCTCCTGCTCTCCTTGAGCACAGGGACAGCCCAGGAGTGAGAGGAGACTCCTTACTGAACAGACTGATGACTTAATAATAGAATCAGGACACATGGGCCACTGCCACTCTGTCCAAGCTCCGCATCCCACAGTGGCTGCTCAAACATCGTGGCCCCTCCCGGGCTTTCTGTGTGAGGAGTACCTGGCCTAAGAGACTATTATAGTTTCTGCTGCCTCTGGGAATAAGGAGGACCTTAAAGATGGTTGGTGGGCAACAGGGAGCATGGGAGGTGTCTGCCTCTTCATACAGAATGAGCTCCCAGGAGAAGTAGTTTAGTGCTGAGGTTTGTGTAGCAGGCATAAGGACTTTGTTTCAATCTGGCCTCACAAAAACAAAAACCAACCCAGGCAACTTCTTTAGCCCAAGGTTCTGCCTCAGACCAGGTGGCAGGCTTCATCTAACATTTAAAAAGCCGCTGCCTGAAGGCTATACTGTGTCCCCAGGACTCTAAGGCTGTAAGAGCCAGTCACGTCCTCTATTACTATAAATAAGATCAAAGAAGATTTATTGATTATTTACTAGTATTGTGGCAGGGTCTCATGTAGCCTAGGTCAATTCTGAACTCACTATGTAGTGGAGAATGACTGAACTCCTGATCCTCTTGCTTCCATAGCCTAAGTGCTGAATAGGCCTGTAACACCATGCCAGGCTTTATACAGTGCTGGAAGCCAAACCTGAGCATTGTGTATGTTGGGTAAGCCCTCTACCACCTAAGCTACATCCTCAGCCTCCTTTTGTCGTTGTTATTTTCCTTTATGTGTGTATTTGTTTGCTTTTTTGGGAAAAGGTATTGCTATCTAGCCCTGGCTGGATAGGAAATGTGTCCATCCTTGAGCCTCCTGCCTCTGTCCTCTTACCCAACTCAGTACCTAGGTTAGGGGGCATATATCCACACAATGGAGCAGTGTGTGCTGGAAACGGATGTTTGAGGATGAGGGGTGAGTTCAGACTTGGGGAGCAGGTGGGCCTCAGTGGGACCATGGTCACTGGGTAGGATAAAAGAAAAGAACAGAGAACATCAGATGGCTGGGTGGTGGTGGCTCACACTTTTAATCCCAGCACTTGGGAGGCAGAGGCAGGTGGATCTCTGTGAGTTTGAGGTCAGCCTGATCTACAGAGTGAGTTCCAGGACAGTCAGGGCTATACAGAGAAACCCTGTCTCAAAAAAAAAAAAAAAAGAAAGAAAGAAAGAAAGAAAGGAAGGGAGGGAGGGAGGAAGGAAGGCAAGCATCTGATGAGGGAAAGGAAAAACTGAAGTAAAGAAACTTATTACCTCTTTGCTCTACATCTAAGTCAGAGGGCATAGCAGAGGCCTGCCCTGTCAGCTGAGGCTGGAGTGGCCATGTGAGGAAGCTGCTGTTGCAGGGGCAGGTGAGGCGAACAGGCTGCCTGCCACCTGGGCTGTAACTAGAGAACTTGGCCAAAGCCAGACTGGCCCCCAAGCTGACCTTTTCCCATGGCCAAGTCCAAATTAAGAGCCCTCAACTGCCAGGAAGATGTGCTGGCCTGGGAACTCTGACTTGTCTGTGTCCAAGGAAGGAAGGAGTACAGAGACTCAGGCTCCCGGGCACTCTGTGAGCTAGTCTACACCTATAAATCTGAGTCCTGAAAGATGTCTCTTCTCAAAGCCTTGAGGGAAACAGATTCCATAGGAGCTTTTGGCATTCCGATGAACATCCAGTTCTACTCTGTGTCTAACTCAAGGTGATTGTGCTACAGCTATGAAACAAGAGGCCTAAGTCACCCGTGGTTGGTTACAGAAAAAGAACCACAAACCTGGGGTTTAGGGAGCCAGGCTTGAACTCACAGCTCCACAAAGGGGCTTTGGGACCACAGCAAGTCACTTCCCTCCGTGGACCTCTCCGCCCAGCCGCCTTCTAGTCTAGCTCAGTCTAGTTTAAAGTCTTTCTTCTATATTTGACCACACAAATTTCTACTGCCTTAGGATGCTGAGCTTAATACCCGCTGAACAAAGACTCTGACCAGGCATGGGGGCCATACCTATCATCCCAGCACTTAGGAGCCCAATGTGGGAAGATTGCCTCAAGTTGGAGTCCAACCTGAGCTACAGAGAAAACCCAGCCTTTTATTTGTTTGTTTTAGGCAGGATAAGGGGCAGGAGGACAAGTCTACCTTAGCTCAGTCAGTCTCTTCCTCAGGAGGGAGAACACATTCTCAGCCTGAAGAAGTGACCAGAGTTCAGAGACGAAGGCCAGGGATAAGTTGGGGTGACAGAGGAGAGGTTCCTTAAAGCCACAGGCCAATCCAAGCCTGGAGACATGGTGGTGAGTCTCCGAGGTGGTGGTGGGACAGCGGAGTGACAGGGAAGGAAGGTGTCTTAGGCAGGATACTACACTGCATTGGAATACCAGGACCAAAGCCACATGGGAGGAATGGGTTTATTTGGCTTATACTTCCACATCACAGCTTATCAAAGTAAATCAGGACAGGAACTCACACAGGGCAGGAACCTGGAGGCAGGAGCTGATGCAGAGGCCATAGAGGAGTGCTGCTTACTGGCTTGTTAATCATTTTGTTTGTTTCTTTTTCGAGACAGGGTTTCTCTTAGCCTGCTTTCTTATAGAACCCAGGACCTCCAGACTAGGGGTGGCACCACGCCACAATGGGCTGGGCCTCACGTCAATCACTAATGAAGAAAATGTCTCCAGGCCTGCCTGTAGTTCATCTTAAGGAGACATTTTCTCAGTTGAGACTCCTTCCTCTCTGGTGACTAGCATGTGTCAAGTTGACAGCGAACTAGCCAGCACAGGAGGAGATGTCAGGAACCCCGGCGAGCATCTGGGAAATAGTTCCTGGACTGACCCTCTCTCTCATGCCTTGGCTCATCATTATCTATGCCCGTTACTCTCAGCACCCCAGAGGGAAAGAATACACTCAAGCTTCAGGCTGTTCCCACTCCAGTCTGCACCGCCAAAGCTGGGAATGGGGGCACACGCCTGTAGCCCAGTACTTAAGAAGTTGAAGCGGGAGAATCAGGAATTACAGGTCAGCCTGGGCTACACAATGAGACCATGGTTCATACAACAAACATGTTAACGTCTCCAGTGTTTGGCACCAGATGAATGAAATCAATGCAGGAGTGACTGAGTCTATCGCCGTTCCACTGTGATAGGACTAGGCCTCTTTTCCCCACCTCAGTCCCGGGGTCCAAACCATCACGCGCTGGCCTGGATTATTAATCCCCTCCACCTGGCTTCCTGCTTCAGGCTATTCTCGGCTCAGCAGCTGACATGTCTACTAAAATCCAAAAAGTGCTGCCCTGGCTTCCCGTCCTCCTCAGAGGAAGAGTCCCAGTTCTGCCAGGTGTGGTGGCAGGATGGGAGTGTCAGCTACTCGGGAGGCTGAGAGGCAAGAGGATTGCTTCTGCCGGGGACACCAGCTTAAGCCACATCAGACAGAGTTTCTTGAAGGGGAAAAAAGTGGTGAAGAAGGCTGGGGACAGTGGCAGAGCTCTTACCCGGTGTACACAAGGAACCTACAAAATACAGACACACACAAATGCACACATACAGGCGCACAGACACACATACATACAGACACACACACACACTCTACACAG